GATGCATTTTGTAAACATATTGTTAATCGATTAAATGTTCAGATAACATTTCCATAATTAATTGAAAGTCCAGGTAAAACATATGAATAGATCACCGGGAACGCACGTGTAATACTATAAAACCCTACAAAGGGTTTTATAATATCGAAATCAGTTATCTATTGCGACAGCTCAAAATAACACAATTCATATATATCCAAAAAAAATGTTCAATTATTTCTAGATTTTAAAAGTATCCTGAACTCCAAAATAGAAAGTTTTATTTCATACAAAACCAAAATAGAAAGTTTTAATTCATTAACCTTTCAGTTTCAGTCCTGATTCACAGAGAAACTTGATTCTTGAACCCACCCCAATCTTTATCACAAGCTGTCATTAGTTAGACGCGAGTTTTCTTAATGTTTATGAATGTATAAGATGCGATTAGTTAGGGTTTAATTGAGGTCATTCATCAAGCCATGATCGACTTTACAGCCATGAAGATGGTGTAGAGGTCCAAACCCATATATATGCTAATACCAAAAAAAAAAAATGAAAAACCATGAATAATGAAATTTTATAAAAAGGAAAGAGATATACCAGTGCAAGTGCTCTCTGAGATATGGATCACTAGGACCAGGAACATCTGGGTCTGTCATAATCTGCAAATTTAAGCATGTTTATGTTCAGCTTTATACAACTTCCGTATTGCCCAAAAAAGTTTACAAAAATTATAAAAATAAAATCAAAGATTTTGTTTGGGGTTGGTCTATAGTTTGCATACATATGTCGATTAGGATTTAAAAGAGCTCTACTTTTTGGTGTTAGATTTGAAAATAGGACGGGAGGAGGTTACCAGTGTAAAGAAAGATCTCATGTCACTACCACGAACATCAACCTTAGGTTTGGCTGTGACAGATGAAGGAAACAGCTCATGCCCGTTGTACACTTGCTTTGATGAGTTGTACGTTACAGACATCTCCACACATGGACTGAAATTGTCCACTACATCCCCTACCACCCTCCCTATCACAAGAGGATCAGACATCCTTGCCATTAAGTATACCTCACAAACACTCACTGAAAGACTTGGTGGAACCAAAGGCTTATAGTTTGGGACTAAGTTTTAGCGAACTACCCCTTTATATATATTTCTTATGTTGGGAAACACCTCTAAGTTTTTCTCCCCACAATGAGCTTTTGGTCATTCTTAATTTATTCTCACGGCATCATGAGCTCGTCGGTAACCTTTTGAAATGATTTAAATAAATGTGTTTAATTTTTCTATTTTCCGTGACGAACATGTATAAAAAATAAAAAAATAAAAAGGCATCCACCAAGAGGGAGCATTCTCAATAAGATTAACGACTTAGGGTTATAAATTTTATCTTGGTTATAAATTTAGTCACTTAAAGATTTTTTTATACGTATGATCATTCAAGTGTTTTTTATTTACATAAATCATTAATGTTTTTTTTTTCTTTACACATATAACAATTAAATATAACTAGATTTTTTAGTCACTTCCAAAGTTTTTCTTACAAAACTAAAAAGAATGTTTTTGAAAAAAAAACCTAACAGCGACCATTTTCGTAATTTATTTTCTACATATGGATAAAAAACTCATTTTTTAAAATTTGTTATTAAGAAGATGCCAAAAGTGTCACATTTCTAAAATGTTGTGGCCAAAATCCGAACCATATAAATTTCCTATTCCATAAACCC